TTAAATACATAGTAAATTAAATAAAAGGCATAAAATTATTTTGTTAAAAATATGGATTTTCTTTTTCTTTATTGTACATAGGAAAAATCTATAATATAACTTTTTTTATTTTTTGTTATAATTATAAAACATAATGTAACTAATATTTATTATTTCGTTAATGCAAAAATGTAGTGTTTAATTAAAATTATTAAAACTATTGGTTTTGAACAGAAAATTTGTTTTCACATCATTTTAACGTTAATATTTTAATTTTTCATCACTCAATATCCTAATTTAACTTTTCGAGAGAGAAATCCCACCAAATCAAACATTGATTTAATTTGAAACACGACATAATAAACATCTGAATTCACAATTATCACTGAAAGAAGAAGTCCGAACTAAAACAACGTTATTCCTTTGGAAGTGGTGGACTGAGAGAAACAAAATTAACAAAGGGGAGAAGGGTCACGGTGTGGATGGCGTTGCTGCAGATGTACTTAACTTGCTGAATGATCTGAGCAAGTTGGAGAGGAAGGAGCCGATCAGGCAGACAGCTGGGAATGCTAGATGGAAAGCTCCACCGCCGGGCCAGCTCAAGATCAATTCGGATGGCTCATTCATCCAGGAAACGATGCAAGGAAGTTGGGGCTTTATTGTCCGTGACTATGAAGGCGAAGTGGTGCTTGCAGGGGCCGGTTGACTGGGATCAATCCCGGATAGCGTGTGCCGAGGCTTTGCAAGCGGCTATAGATCATGGCATTTTCACTAGTGCAGGTGGAGATGGACTCGACAATTCTTCAAAAAGCTCTTGTCTCACCATCCATGAATCTCGCAGCATGCGGAATGTTGATAAGGGACACTCGTGATTTTTTGAATGAGCATTTTGTATGTAGTAGTGTCATTTCTATTCCTAGAGCTTGTAATGGGATAGCACATAATTTAGCTAAGCTCGCTATGTGTTGGGACCGGGGTGATCGCCATGTGTGGGCAAGCCCCCTCTCAGAATTTGTAGAGACCTTGGTTGCTCGCGATGTTGTCGAGCTTATGGTTCCAACAACAAGGCCATAGAGCCATGGATTGCATAAAAAAAAGGCCATTGAGAATTGAAGAGGAGAGGAGAGGAACGTCAGAGAGCTAGCACAGTCGAGAAAAAGAGGACGGATCGGAGGCAGTGATGGGTAGTATGTGTTACCCTTCAGCCGGCGGAGGTTGCCAGTGCTGACGGCGGCTTCAACGAGGTCCATCCAGGAGATTGTTGGGCAGTGGGTTGGGGCGGTCATGACGGCTTCAACGAGGTCTGACCAGGAGATTGGGGCGGCCATGGCGGCGGCGGCGGTACGGTGACGGCGGATTTAGTTTCCTGAGGTTGTGCAAGGATGATCCGGCCAGGAGTACTGCACGAGGGTTTTATAGAGAAGAAGAAGAGAAATGGGGATGGAAGTATGGAACTTGAGAGCAGGTGTGAATGGGGAAAGGATCGGAGCGCGGCGTGGTGTTAATGGCGCTGGAAATCGCGAGTGCCCTGCGGGAGGCGAGACGACGACGACGCCTCCGGGAATCGGGGGTTATATGGAGTCACTGCGGTTTCAACTCATCATGGTTTCTATATGGCTAATTTCCTTTTTTTGAAATTATATGGCTAATTTCTACAGACATAAACATTGTTATATAAAAATAAATTTCTAATATTTTTAGTACTCTCCTGTCTCCTTCCGCAAAATGAGTCAACGGTTAGAATCAACTTTCTAATCCATAGGTTCTTTAGTACTTCCTCCTTCTAGAAAATAAATCAACTTTTAGAATCCAAGAGAAATAAGTTAGGGCGTTAAAAGACGCATGTATCTCTAGATAGCTTTTTACGTGCAAAACACCAACAACTTTTTATGGTTCCACGAGTCGGATCGTGTGGATGAGAGAAATTGGTGTAGCTGATATTTTTCAGCCAACGGGCTCCAAGAGCATTATTGCCTCTATATGCTGGCCTTTGCTCTCTATTTTTTTTTGACAAACTACTGCTCCAAACTTACTTGCTTAGTAGTTTCTACGCAGAGAAAAAAATGATATCATACATTTACCGCAAAAGAGAGGTTGATGAGCTATGGCAAACAACCAAGTAGACAATCCACCATTTCCTCGTCTTTGGCGCCGTCGACATTGCCATTGCAGTTGGCGACGCATCACGATCAGCAGCGGCAATATGAACACATCAAAATCAATTTCACCCGTGAATGATAGCAGTGACTAAAGGTTCGCACAACAAAAGAATGCAACTCGATCTTTACCATATTTAACCTTCTCATAGCTTTCTTCGCCCTATTGCCTGAGTGATTGGGGGAGAGCAACAACAACCAAGACAAGAAAACAAATCAAGGACTCCAAGCAACAGGCAACAAAGGAGGATGGTTAAAATACTCAAGATGGACTAAGGGCGAGTTTAGCAAGGCTCCTGCTCCTATTGTGGAGCAGCTTATTAGGTGAAGCTGAAGCTATATTAAAAATGTAAAAATGGCTCCAGTGACAGGTTTGTTATAATTTGCGTTAAATCTGTTAGGAGCCGAGATAATCCACGGTCCACGGCTCTAGCTCCTCAATACAAAAATGGCTCCAACTCCTTGCAGGGGTCATTTTTTAGATAGTTATTTGACACGGCTCCGCGACAAGAGTATGCAAGAATCCAGATGCCAAAGGGACACTAAACGGTTCAAGAGGAAAATAAACATCAGCCACAGGAAGACATACTAGACAACAATGACTCTGCCCATGTCGGTGTTTGGTCTAGTACATTCATGTAGTCACCGCTGATTGCGACTCCTCTATCATCACTGCCTATGTCATCTCAGAGCTCGCAGTGACAGAGGAGGTAGGGCAGGTGGACCTCGCCATAGCGCCAGAGTAGGGGCGCGAGGGTCATGCGGTAGGGTGACGAAGTTGCTGCCACTAGGTGAGAAAAAGGAGGACATCGACAGCGGTGGTGCACAACAGATGCAGATATAGCGGATCCCATCAGAGGAGGAAGGAAACGATGTTGCACTTGTGTAGAAGTCGGCGTGTCACCAAGAACATCTCCAAGTCTGATTTTACTAAAGCTGCTCTTCACGGACTGCTGTGGGGATGAGCACAAAGCCCTCACAATGCCACCGATTGGAGCCCCGCACACTCACCAAGTGGTGCTCGCGATCCACCACATCTCCAAGCTATCTCTAGGTGGCAACAACCACCAAGAGTAACAAGAACTTCGCTACAAGAACGATTCACCATGTTCCATATTGTCGCTTAATTAGTTCTTCTTGATAGATTCTTTTGCTTTCTACCCTACTACGCTTCACCACGATCGTCTCAGTGGGCGTGTTTGTATGTGAAACAGAGTTTATGACGAGTCAAAGATATGATAATACTGTATACGTGTCATCTCATCTCATCATTATCAATATATTTCATATCTCCAGAGTCTTAGAGTAGCCACAACATTGCTTTTTAGCGTTGCTGAAACAGAGAGAGAGTATTGAAGCCTCGAGTAGGCACACTATGAAGACCGATGTCGAACCAAAATTTAATCTATCCGAGTCACCTTCTTTCCTCGGCGTTGAACAAATAAAAAGGTCGTTAGTCCTGGGCAAATAAAAAGTTATGTTTTATTAGCCGGTTGCTAGTTTCAACCGTAGTGCAACTAGTCACGCTAGCACCAACTGCAGTCGCGGCTAGTTGCATCTGGTTGCAACTAGTCATCAACACGAGTTGGTTGCAACCAATCACAACTAGATCACACCAACTACAGTTGCAACCGGTCATCTCGCGAAAGGAAGGGGTGGTTATGTGATGATTTGGATCGACAAAGTAGAGAAGCATGGGTGCCCACGCTGTGACTATATAGGGCAGCGATAGAGCATGGTGCCAAACGAAGCAGGGGCTAGCACATGAGCTAGCAAACATATAGAAGATTTGCAGTGGTATATGTGTGGAGGAGGGGGGCTGAAGCGCCCACCTTCGCCTCCTCTATCCTCCGTTAGGCATACTGTCAGCATCAACAACACTATGGGTAGTCTTAGACACATGGACAGACAAGTCGTCCTACACATATGTAACTGTGTATAAGTATCGATCACATCAATATTACGCATGTGTACGTGACAATGACAAGTTAAACCTAAAGCGGGCCGAACACCAACCCTCTCACATAGCCTTCGTAGTCACCATCTTAGCATCCACGATCAAACCTCTCAAAAGAGTCAAAGTGTGAGATATTATTTTTCAGCATTGGTACGAGGTGGCATCGGGATATTATTTTTCAGCGTCCACAACACTGTGGGTAGTAGTTTTAAATACATGGACAGACAAGTCCTACACATATATAATTATACAAGTATCCAACACATCAATGTTACACGTGACAATGATAAGGTGGAACCTTCAGCGGTTCGAGCACCAACCCTCCCACATCCTTTCGTAATCACCATCTTACTATCTTAGCATCCATGATCAAACCATTCGAGAGAGTCAATTCATCCTCGACACACCACCCAAGCCGTCGCCCCGCTATCACCACCACCACGGCACGACAGGTCCGTACGTTGCCGTTCCGCTTGCGTCGGGCTCAACAACCTTCCACGAGACCAAAACCGTCTCCTACTTCAGTGCTCGCTCGCTCACGCACGCGGCACACGACACGTCAGACAGCCCTCCTCCGCCCGCGCGCACCACGGACCGAGTCCACGAGCTACCCGTGCGCCGCCATCCGATCTCCGATCCGACGATTCCGACCATGCAAACCGAAACGAAAGCAAGGCGGCAAAGCCCGCCGGCGCCAACCGGGAAAATAGACCGGGCCGCGCGCAGGCGGAAATGGCGCCAAGCTCGCGCGCGCCAATCTCCCGCCTTCTTCTCCCTACTCCCTCTATTTCCCCACCCCGCCTTCCCTCTCCTACCAATCCCCATCCACCCCTACCCTACCCCATCCAGCTCAGCTGCCCCTCCTCTCCCCTCATCCCACCCCCAGCGCCAGATCTCCCGCCCCCGCCATGGCCTCCGACGCCGCCGCTGCCCCCGCCGCCCCCGCCCCCGCCCCGGCGAAGCCCGCGCCGCCCAAGCTCCGCGGCAGCTACAACTGCGGCCGGTGCGGGCTGCCCAAGAAGGGCCACGTCTGCTCCGTCCCGGGCCCCGCCTCCACCGCCGCCCCCGCCTCCGGGGCCGGCGACAAGGCAGGGGAGCCACAGCCGCCGCCGCAGCAGACCAAGCCGCGCCGCGCGCTGCAGTTCGACGACCCGGCCGCGTCGCCGCCGGCTGCGTCGGCCGTAGTGCTGGACACCGTGCCGCCGGAGGTCGCGGCGCCGCCGCCACCGCGGCCGCGGCCGCTGACACCAGCGGCGGGGAAGAAGAAGGCCAGGGCGGAGGTGGTGGACGTGGACGCGGAGGAGGAGGACGGCGGCGACGACGACGGCCCGCCGCTGCCGTGGGTCGAGGTGGGCGAGGGGCGGCGGGCGCCCGGGGAGGTGCTGGTGGGCGTGCTGCAGCGCCTGCCCCCGCGCGCCGTGGCGGCGGCGGCCGGGGTCAGCCGCGGCTGGCGCGAGTGCTCGCGACGCCTGTGGGGGGGCGCCGAGGAGGTCCGCCTCCGCGCCTCCGGGGTCAGGCCCGTCGCCGCGCTCATGGCGCGGTGCCCCGCGCTCGCCAAGCTCGTGCTCACCATGGACAGGTGAGAACAGATCGACAGCTGATCTATGCTATGCTATGCATGCGGCGGCGCTTTTAGTGGATCGGCGCAAATGACGGCACGGAGGGTCGATCGATGTTGTAGAACGTTGCTCGATCCAAACGGGAGGGAAGGGAACTAACGAACGAACACGGAAATTCGCGAGTAATTCACCTTACTTAAACCTGTCTGAACTAGTGGAATGGGATTGAACGACTGCTGTTGAGTGCAGTGCAGATGTGTGATCTGATCTGGTGCCGTGAGATCTCCGCTTGTGGATCCTTGATCGGTGCGTGGTTGGATCCTAAATACACATCGTGCAGAAGTCGTAAATGGAAAGCAAAGGTGGCACGTAGTACGATCCATGCTTGCTGGGTGAAATCTAAGCGTCCATCTGATCTGGTCCGACTATATTTTTTTCGACCAACTGGTCCGACTATATGGACTTGGACTCTTGCTGGATGTGACTTTCTTATGGGAGTTCTAGTTATGTTGCTGTGAGATCTGGTCTGATATGGGAGTAGGAAGCACGGATCTGTACGTAGCTACTTTGATGCAGAATCAGTGCGTGGATGATGTTAGATAGTGAAATGCTACTTGGCCTTGTGAATCAGTTAGGGGATCAGACTGATAAATCAGTATTGGTGGTAAAAGGCTCATGAATCTCTGATGGTATTGCCTGTCGGACTAAAGAGCAGTTTGTGCAGTAGATGCAGAGTTAGGTTGGCCTTCTGAAGAACAACTTTCCTCGTTTGGTGATCTAAAAGGAACTTGGTGCCTTCTTTATGGCAAATAGGGGTGTCATTTGGTACATCTATGAAGTGTTTGGTTTGGGGAATCAACCCATTTTAGATGGGGTGATGTATCATGAGTCCATTTCTCAAATTTAGTGGAATGATCCCATTCCTCATACTAGTACCAATTATTAGCTTAAATGATGGATCAACTCATTTTATTTGACAAACCAAAAAAAAAAAAAACTAAAGAATGAGATGATGATGAACTATTTCATTGCACATTGCACAACCCCCCACCCCCCCCCCCAGTGTTTGTCCTGTTAGGATTCCTATAGTTCTGATGATGACCAAAATGCAGATGTTGTCTGCCTACTTGCTCAATTATAATTCGAGGAAAACTGAAATCCTGTCTTGCTTTGGGTCTTCTCGTGGTGGATAGTTTGTACCCCAGTGTTTGTCCTGTTAGGATTCCTATAGTTCTGATGATGACCAAAATGCAGATGTTGTCTGCCTACTTGCTCAATTATAATTCGAGGAAAACTGAAATCCTGTCTTGCTTTGGGTCTTCTCGTGGTGGATAGTTTGTATAGGTCTAGTTCTTTTGGTGCTTGACTTTATTTTTCAACCTCTTAGTTGTGAGGATTAATGTTCTGACCAGATGTTCTTTTCCTACATTTTCAGTGATGTTGATGCCACACTGTTGGCATGCATTGCATTTTCCTGCCCCAATTTACAATCCCTGGCTATCAGCATGGTCAATAGCGCAGCCAACAGGATAACTGGGTATGTTGAAAGCTCCCACTACTAAACATTCATCTTTCTATTCATTTTATTCTTGCATATAATCATGTATGGATTGCACTGCTGCATGTTGAATAGAACATGAGAGTTTATGATCAGTATCTAGTATGCATCCCTTTGCTAATGTGCAGTACCAAATTTAGTGCTACTGGCTGAAAACATATAATGTCAGTGTTTCTTGTTTCTTTAAGTATCTTTGTGGTTTATTGTCACCATAAGCCATCTCAAAACAATACCTGCACCTCAGTAATGTTAAATTGGCATTAAGTTTTGTTGTATCTAACTGACACTTGCTGTTCTATGCAGGGATGAGCTATCTAGGTTTGTTTCAGAGAAGCGATCTCTGTTAGTTTTTACATTAGATGGCTGTAGCAGTCTTGGTTTTCTCAATGTTAACTCTTCAAGCCTTTCAACACTTTGGTTGTCAGGTCTTTGTCCCCTTACCAAAGCGGTATGCCGAGATATGCCTGCAATTTATTTGCTATGCAATTCCCTGATCTTATATCTTGCATAAATTGATTTGGGCTATCAACTTGTAGGTCGTGAACTGCCCCAATTTGAATGAGCTCTCACTGAACTTTGCCATACAAAATAATGATTCTACTGACCTGGTTGCTCTAATGGATAGTCTGGGCCGCACCTGCCCAAACTTGAGGAACATGCACATCTCATCAATTCGCTTATGCAATGAAGCTGTGTTTGCTCTAGAGAGTGCTAATCTCAGGTATCTTTCAGTTCATCACATCTTGCCATGATCCTTATGGAATGTTTTTCAAACTATGATGCATGGAATCTTTGCTATGAATCCACTGTATCTTGATCTCAACAGCATGATTAACCTTCTTTGTTTCTCCTTTCACCAGGGGCCTGTGCATGCTGTCCTTTCTACAGGGTTCAAAAATAACAGATGCAGCTGTTGCATCTATTGTTCGTTCTTATGCAAGCTTGGAGCTGCTTGATTTAAGTGGGTAAGCACCAACCTTATGAGGACCTGATGTTTCTATGAACAAACTTAAGTTTTTGTGCCACTGGAAAGTTACATGGAAATAGTTATTTAATTTCGCATGCTTATATCTTCATTCAGATCTGGCATTACTGACAATGGGCTTGGGATGATCAGCAATGCGTTCCCTAACACCCTAACATTTCTGCTCCTGGCTCGGTGCCCAAATATCACCTCATGTAAGTGTCCTTTGGTCCACTTATTTCAAAGAGAATTCCAATGCCCATATCCCCAAATACGCTAACAAATTCTGTTCACTCCTGATATACAGTTGGGGTCCAGGTGGCTGCAGCACAGTTGCCACTCCTTCGTGTCATGGACTGTGGCCAGAGCATATGTGCTACCCCCCAGCCTGAAGCTGGGAGATACTACTTCGGTGACCTAACTGGCGGGATCAAATTCTGCTCTAAATTACCAGTCCAGAGAAAGCAGCAGACTACTTGCCAGAATTTGATCATAAAGCACAACACCCTGAAGAAACTCAGCCTGTGGGGCTGTTCAGCGATTGATGTAAGTGTCGAAAAAGCTGTATCTGACTGTATGTGATTCTTAAGGCATCATTGTTCTGGTTCATACACATAGTACAGCTGCGTGCTCATATGCTGCTTTTCACGTGTGACAGGCCTTGTATGTGAATTGCCCGGAGCTGGTTGATCTGAACCTCAACTTGTGCACGAATCTTCATCCAGGTCCGATGTTCATCCGCGCTTTGTTTCAGTAACTTGAAAGCCGAAACTCAGGCTGAGCATAACAAGTTTCCGTGAGGACCCGCCTGGTACTGACATCCTTATGTAAATCTGTTCCAGAGCGGCTTTTGATCCAGTGCCCCAAGCTGAAGGACGTGCACGTCAAAGGGTGCCGCGACATGCTGATCGGAGCCATCAGGAACCAGGTCCTGAACGAGTTCGCGGCCATAGAGCCCCGGCTGCCCTGCAAGCGGCTGGCCGATGGGTCGAAGCGCGTGCACGTGCCCCACTTCATGATAGAGCAGGTTTGCAAAACCCCCTCTGGCCTCTGCTCTGATCAAACCAAACCAAACCTTCAGTCTGTCTTCTTATCTCACCTGCGCGATCGGTTCTTCCACTGTCTGCAGCTGGAGGAGCAGGAGAAATGGGGCAGGCCGCGGAAGAGCCAGTGCACCGTTCACCTCAATTGGTGATCAGCGTCGTTGGCGTCGCCGTCCTCGCCGTCGAGGAGGTGCGACGTTGATTCAGCGAACCTCTAGACCCTGTATGTTCCATCTGGAGTGTGTTGTACCATGCTCCTCTTGTTCATGCTGTGTTTAATCTGTGGAATTTGTAGGACAATAACGGTTTGCAATGCAATCCGGCCCTCCTGTTGCTGTACTTTCAAACCGTATTTTGGTCTTGTTCATCCAGGACAATAGTTTGCTTTTGCTTCACCAGATTGCTTGCATCCTGTGTTGTAGCAAGCTGTGTCTGTCTGTCTCGGAGCTAGGGCCAATATGTCCTGTGTAGTTTTTCAATATGACGAAAGTAAGAGGGACAATATGTAAAAAGACACTCGGATAATTGGGTTCCGTTCCTTCTCGAGCTTCCGATTTCTAAATTTCTCCTCTGTTTCGTTCCAATCGCACTCCGATTCGTCGGCCTTGGATCAACCGTGGCCGCCGGTCGATTCTGTGAGCGCGCAACGATAAGCCTGCCATGGAGTTGTCCAGTTCCATCGCGTCCACGGAGGCGGCGGCGCAGCCTCAGGCCCGGCTGCTCCGGCCGCCGTCATTTCGCCGGACGGGCCGGCGGGTAAGATGCTCTTCGATCCCCCTACCTCGCGCCTGGATTTCCCTCCGCCTTAACCATGCGCTCGCGTTTGCCTCTGCCTTCTTCGACTTCATCCAATCCAAGGAAGTTGCAAGTGTGGCCTGTCGCCTGGAATCGAACAGATTGGACTTCCTGACATACTGAATCCTGCTTCATTTCGACCTCCAATTCGTCGGAATTCGTGTGACTGCGCCTCCTTGTAACCAATTCTTGTAGTACCTCCTCCTAGTTTTCCATGCAAATTTCTTGCTGGCAGCAATATTTATAATGCGTAATAATAATAATAATTAGGTGCACTAGATAGTCCATCAACCCGTGCTCATGCATAAGTTAGAATATTAAATAAGATATAATTGTGATAGACTTGTCAATTACTTATACATATCTTTTTATCTCCATCCGGTTTTTCCCTTTGCATGGCAACGTTTTTTCTTGAGGGTATTTGCATGGCAACCCTGTGCATATTCAATATGCATTTCGTTAACATCATAGCTTAAACTATGGTAGCTGTGGTTGCAGCTCATATCTTATGATGTCACTAATCTAAATTTTGATATCATATTTTTAATCTTGTAAACTATAGATTTTGAGAATGCAGCCAGTCGGCATTCCACGGGCCGACAGGTCAGGGCACCAGAAACCGATAGGCTCCCTATCGTCGCCACCTGGTCCTGTCGGCATTCCACAGGCCGACAGGTCAGGGCACCTCCGCATTCCACGAGCCGATAGTACTAGTCGGCATTCCACGGGCCGACAGGTCTGGGCACCAGAAGCCGATAGGATCCCTGTCGTCGCCGACAGCACGGCGCTGCCACGTCGTCGCCACGTGGTCCTGTTGGCCCGTGAGCTGCCGACAAGGTACCATATCTCAAATTTTTATATAACAGCTTCTAGATTTGCAATTATTCATTAAAAAATATTATTTAAAAAACTATTTCTCTCTCATTGAATATCCAAATATAGCTATCCTCTATTCTGAAATTCTCTGTCTAGCTAAAGATGGACAACGAGTTTAACTCCCTCAAGTGTGGAAAACGATTTTCTTTTTCAAATGATTTTCTTATGATGGTTTAGAGAATAAGTTTTAGAAAGACTTTTTGAGATGCTCTTAATCTACTGATCAAAGCAACATTCTCGCTAGCTCCTTTTCCCTTCTCAAAAGTAGCTTCTACTCTACATGTAAAAACAGTTCTGACTCCTCATATCTATAAAAAATAGCTCCTCCTCTACGGGTGCTTCTTCTACCTCTCGCCAAGAGCGTTGGCATGTGTGTGTTTGAGTGGTTCCTTGGCGAAGCCAACATACACCGCCAAGATCGCGATGGGCACACCGGGCGTTGAGGCGCTGCTGGCGCTGGACATGGGCAACCACGTCACGTGCCTGCCGTGCCAGCCATGCCGGCGGTGATACCCGCAGTCCGGGCCCGTGTTCGACCCGCGGCACTCGACGTCATACTGCGAAATAGGGTACGACGCGCCAGATTGCCAAGCGCTGGGACGATCTGGCGGCTGCTGATCCAGTGCCCCAAGCTGAAGGACGTGCATGTCAAAGGGTGCCGCGACATGCTGACCGGAGCCATCAGGAACCAGGTCCTGAACGAGTTCGCGGCCATAGAGCCCCGGCTACCGTGCAAGCCGCTGGCCGATGGGTCGAAGCGCGTGCACGTGCCCCACTTCATGATAGAGCAGGTTTGCAAAACCCCCTCTGGCCTCTGCTCTGATCAAACCAAACCAAACCTTCAGTCTGTCTTCTTATCTCACCTGCGCGATCGGTTCTTCCACTGTCTGCAGCTGGAGGAGCAGGAGAAATGGGGCAGGCCGCGGAAGAGCCAGTGCACCGTTCACCTCAATTGGTGATCAGCGTCGTTGGCGTCGCCGTCCTCGCCGTCGAGGAGGTGCGACGTTGATTCAGCGAGCCTCTAGACCCTGTATGTTCCATCTGGAGTGTGTTGTACCATGCTCCTCTTGTTCATGCTGTGTTTAATCTGTGGAATTTGTAGGACAATAATGGTTTGCAATGCAATCCGGCCCTCCTGTTGCTGTACTTTCAAACCGTATTTTGCTCTTGTTCATCCAGGACAATAGTTTGCTTTTGCTTCACCAGATTGCTTGCATCCTGTGTTGTAGCAAGCTGTGTCTGTCTGTCTCGGAGCTAGGGTCAATATGTCCTGTGTAGTTTTTCAATATGACGAAAGTAAGAGGGCCAATATGTAAAAAGACACTCAGATAATCGGATTCCGTTCCTTCTCGAGCATCCGATTTCTAAATTTCTCCTCCGTTTCGTTCTAATCGCACTCCGATTTGTCGTCCTTGGTTCAACCGCGGCCACCGGTCGATTCTATGAGCGCGCAACATTAGGCCTGCCATGGGGTTGTCCAGTTCTATCGCGTCCACGGAGGCAGTGGCGCAGCTTCAGGCAGGGCTGCTCCGGCCGCCGTCATTTCGCCGGGACGGGCCCAGCGGGTAAGATGCTCTTTGATCCCCCTTCCTCATGCCTGGATTTCCCTCCGCCTTAACCATGCGCTCGCGTTTGCCTCTGCCTTCTTCGACTTCATCCAATCCAAGTGTCGATGCGGGACCCACAGGATACCCCGCCAGGAAGGGAGAAGATCTATTCCAACTAGTATTCTTCTCATGTAATCCTAGTAGTAGTATTATCCTGTAGTCCTACTAGGAACTCTCATTGTAAACCAACTAGGACTCTGATCTCCTGACTATATAAAGGAGGCCGGGGTTCCTAGAGAAGGGAGGACTTTTACGACTGTAACACAACAACACAACACAATCAATCCAACGCAAAAGGCTAACGCCGACTGGACGTAGGGCTATTACTCGACCATAGTTGAGGGCCTAAACCAGGATAAATTGACTGTCTCTTGCGTTCACCGTCGAGTTCTGCATACGCTGAAGCTCGAACATACTGTCCCGGGTAATCCTGTGGCAGGCTATCGGTGGTCAAACATCGACAGCTGGCGCGCCAGGTAGGGGCGTTCGGTGAATTTGCATCCGAGAGCTCGATGGACCTCGACAACATGATCTTCTCAACAGGATCAACCTTCATCTTTGGTTCGTGGATCTGTGAGACAGACGTCGATGGCAAGCTCCAAAGTCGTCTTCTCAAAGATTTGGTTCACCATGAAAACTTTCCTATTTTCACGACTACGATAGATCAAATCACCGGAAGATTCACGCAGCTCGTGATGTCCGATTCAACTCAGGTTTCACGGCTTTACGCATCCGACTCGAATTCAGGCTCCGCATCCAAGATGGAGTATGACCCAAGTTCTTTCGAGAATCCGAGTTCTTTTCCAATGAGGCTAGAGAACACGGCCTCGACATATCAAGAATACAACTCGGAGTGCACTCAGAATTTTTCAAGAAGTCGGATCTTTTCCCATTTGGACTCCACAACATGGCAAGGTCTTACCAAGCATAGCTCGAAGGATCCCTCGACTCAGTGTTTAGAATGCCACTAAAAGGAGCTCAGGAATGTCTCGTACTAACCATAACATCTCAAGACTGCATCGTCCACTGGCCAGGCTCTATTCCTAAGGATAGCAGTACCCGACGGGTCGGCACGACGACAACAACAATTCTACCCTACCAAGAAGGAGACTTGATATGCGACCTTGAAACCTCTACTAAAGTTATCAGCAACTCCGACAGTATGGAAACCAACGCCAATAATAGAACAGTTCAAGCACGGAAAGTACTCATGGTTCACCGTCCTCGATCACCATTGATTCCCCTAGAAGCACCCGACGTCAGGTCATAAGATGAATCTGAGTCCAACATATCACCCTTTGCTCAAGGCTACGATGGTGAGGCCGAGAATCAAAGGCAAGCCAGAGAAAGAAGAAACAAGTGGAAACAAGGATGCCAGCGACGTGCTAGGCAGCGCAAGGAAGCTTGGATCAAATATGAGTCAGATCTGGCCGAATATAACAGAAGAAAATCAGAACAAGAAGTCGAAGAAAGACGTGCGGCGAACACACCCTACAACAGGATCCGAGAAGCTCTTGAGGAACTCGGAATGACCTCACATCCCAGTGAACAGCAGGAACAGCTTTGGGAACTTCTCCGGACAGTAGCCCTAAAGACACACGATGGATGAACCCATTCAAGACTACCCGCCAGGTCAACATCTCATAGGAAGGAAGATCAAAATCAAAGGAAGTCCGCGTTCGAGAGACTTGGACCAAGTGGAAGTCACAACAGAGAAAGTAGAAGGGACCACAGTCAAAACTACCAAGCCAAACAACCAAGACAGAACAGAAGCGAAGCACCCATTCGGACAGCCCCACAGAACTACTCTCATCAAAATGACAGCTGGCTGGAAGGAGTTGCTGAATCAGAGTACAGAGAAGCCAGGACGCATGATAGATTCCCCTGTTTTGCAAGCAGACTTTCTTCGATACGACTACCGCACAAGTTCAAACCATCCAACCACTCTAAATATGATGGCAAGACTGAACCAAGGCAGTGGCTCATAATCTACTCACAATCGATTGAACTGGCTGGAGGAGACGACGACATCAAGACCTTGTTCTTTCCGATGGCCCTGGAAACCATGCCTCTCCAATGGTTCGACAAATTGAATCCAGGGTCAATCAAAAATTGGGAGGACTTGCAAAGAGCTTTCTGTGAAAATTTCGCGGGTATCATTACGCACCCAATCACCCACGCAGAATTAAAGGGACTCAAGCAGAAAGGGGGCGAAAGACTCAGAGATTACTATCGACGATTTGGCGAATTACGTGCCCAAGTACATGACATTACCGAACGAGAAGTAATCGAAGCTTTCTCTAACGGAATCATGGCTAGGTGGCAATGTCAGGACTTCTGCAAAGAGAACCTGAGAAACAATGAAGAATTTAGATGCATAGTAGAAAAAATGATTACTGTGGAGGAAAAGACACGAGAAAGGTTCCCGAAAAGAAGCAACCGAGACAACCCGGATAAGCAAAATCATCGAAACAACAGACACCAAGAGAGAAAACATGGACCAGACAACACCGTAGCGGTAACTGACAAATCAAGGAAGTTTTCCAAGCCCAGAAGGTATGACGACATTGAAAACATGCATTGCCCATTACACCCTAATGGAAAGCACACCATTGGAAATTGCTACACCTTCAATGAACGATACACAAGAAAAGATAGTAAGGGGAGCACTAAAGAAGACAATCAGAAAAAAGATGAAGACAACCACGAAGACTAGGGATTCAAAAAATCCAGGGGAACAGTAGCAGTGATCTTCGCCGGGGCTCTAGATTCCAGAAGCAAACATCAAGAAAAGCTAGCTCTCCGAACCATCATGGCAGCAGAACCGGCTACTCCAAGATATCTCAATTGGTCATAATATCTGATCCAGTTTTCAAGAGAAGACCAATGGACTAGTGTAGGAAACACAGGTCATTACCCACTGGTTCTAGATCCAACCATCGCCGGTGTGACTGTCACAAAGGTACTAATTGATGGAGGAGCCGGACTCAACATCATTTTTTCAGAAACTCTAAGGAAGATGGGATTACAACTCGCCGGGATGATTACACCAACGAGCACACCTTTTTATGGGATAGTACCCGGCAAGGCGGCCATGCCACTTGGACAAATCACTCTACCGGTTACTTTTGGAACTCCCTCAAACTACCGCACAAAGTTCATCAAGTTTGAAGTTGCAGACTTTGAATCATCATACCACGCAATCCTCGGACGTCCAGCACTGGCAAAATTCATAGCAATACCACATTACCCGTACCTATTGCTAAAGATGCTAGGTCCTAACGGAGTCCTCTCCCTTCGAAGTGATTTGAAGCGCACTTTTGACTGCGATGTTCGAGCAATTCAAATTGCAGCCAAAGCACAAGCAACCAATGGTAGAAAAGAAATAGCTGCTATTGCCGCGGAACTGAGCCCGAAAGAACTAGAGATACCAGCTAAAAAGCCCATCATCCTAGCACCACCAAAAGAAGCTGACGTCAAGCAAATCGACCTGGGAACCAGTGATCCCGCCAAAACGGCAACCATCAGTGCTCACCTCTTGGCAAAATAGGAACTCGCGCTCACCAACTTTCTTTGGGACAACAAAGATATCTTCGCTTGGAAGCCGGCCGACATGCCAGGTGTCCCAAGAGAGTTGGTTGAGCACATAATCGATATCAACGAAGGCTCCAAGCCTATGAAGCAACGACTAAGACGGTTCTCACCCGACAAGAAGGCAGCAATTAAAAAAGAAATCACAAAACTAATGGCATCCAGATTCATCAGAGAAATCCTTCATCTAGATTGGCTAGCGAATCCAGTTCTAGTACAAAAAAAGAATACAGACGAGTGGCGCATGTGCGTCGACTATACAGATCTCAATAAACACTGCCCGAAAGATCCATTTGGGCTACCACGCATTGATCAGATAGTTGATTCAACAGCAGGATCTGCCCTATTATCCTTCCTTGATTGCTATTCAGGATATCACCAAATTGCTTTAAAAGAAGAAGACCAGAGCAAGACATCTTTCATCACTCCATTCGGTGCCTACTGCTACAAGACCATGTTGTTTGGACTCAAGAATGATGGTGCCACTTACCAAAGAGCTATCCAGACGTGCCTTGGTGAACAGATTGGTGAAAACATGGAGGCATACGTGGATGATGTAGTAGTGAAAACAAAGAACCCGGACACACTTATTGAAGACTTAAAGCAAACCTTCGAAAACCTAAAAAGGTGGAGATGGAAATTGAACCCAAGCAAGTGTGTATTCGGAGTTCCTTCTGGACAACTACTCGGATTCTTGGTCAGTCATCGTGGAATCGAAGCCAGCGCCAAACAAATTCTGGCCATAACAGAGATGGGACCCC